ATCTATCTATCTATCTATCTATCTATCTATCTATCTATCTATCTATCTATCTATACACACATGAGTTATTATTACTGTAACCTTAGCATACACATACTCCATCAGGGCAGAGCCAAGACTCAGCATCCTTGATTTACAGCAGAGACGTCTGGGAAATTTCCTTAGTTGAGACAAGCTGACATCCTCTCCATCCCATTCTTCTCTCTCTCTCTCTCTCTCTCTCTCTCTCTCTCCTTACTACATTTCCCCCTTTCCCTCTTCCTCCCTCCCACTTCTACTGTCTCCCTCTTTCCCTTTTCCTTCCCCCGCCCATCACCCTTCCTCACCTAACTGCTTCTGTACCCTGCTCTTCTCCCCAAACTGGTTGCTTCTATTTAGACCTGACTCCTGCCTTGTACTTACATACAGGGAGCTAATGAAGTAATGATTTCATTCAGAAGATATTTACTAAGTAGCCATTATGTTCAGGGTGCTTTTTTTATGACTCATAATTGTGTTAATAATTACTCAATGGATCCGTGATCTCATTGATTTGGCTGCCCCCTCCAGGGACGCAGATTCCGAATCTTGTGTGACTCCTGCTCATGTGCTTCCCTAAGTTTGTCCCAGAGGAGGCCACCCAACCGGTTGGAGGCCTTTCTTGCTTTTGCCCGATGTCTAGAAGGAAGCAGTGCTGTGCTCTTCACTGCTCATCTGTTATCCTTTGTTCTTTGCTATATGACCAGCCCATAGTCTTCCTATTCTACATTTCCCTACTGCACCTTTTACTGCTGTTCTTTGAAGTTGCTTATATTATTGCTCATAATATTATTAGTTATATTGTTATATTGCTTATACATTGTAGGCTGCTCGCATCTACCACATTCATCTCCATTGTCCTCTGTGTGATAGCCATTATCACTATATTAATAAATAATGACAATAACTCACATTTATATAACACTTAAGCAGCCTTCGGAGATAGATGGGTATTACTGTTCTCATTTTACAGACGAGGAAACAGGCTCAGAATGGTTAAGTGACTTGTCCATAGCCACACAGCTAGGAAGTCTAGGAACTGAAACTTGAAAACCAGGACCATGGGAGCCATCGTTTTAGAGCCTGAAGTCACCTAGTACAACTCCCTCATTTTAAAGATGAGGAAACTGAGGCCCAGACTGGTTAATTGATCTTTTTCAAGGCCAAATAGGAAGTGACAGAGGTAGGATTTGAATCCTGGTCCTCAGACTTCAAATCCAGCCCTTTCCACTGAGATGATGGTTTTTATTCTGGCTGGAGAGGAGTATGCACCAAAACCAACAGGTTACAATGGGCCAAATCTAATAGGATAATTCTTAATAGGGCTAAATTTAAAGTTTTACACTTAACTTGAACAACCAATGCATCAGTAAGGGGTGGGGGACGCCTGGCTAGACACCAGCTCATATGACTAAGCTCTGGAGTGACTTAGCCAACACCACATGGGAATTAAATAGCTGACTTTTGACGTGGAGTCACGTATGCTTCCCAGGACACTATACGTCTCTTTTTCATCATATAGTGATCGACAAGGCAGAGTCTTTGCTCTTCAGGAATTTACAATCCACTTTTAAACTAGGATGGGGCCCTAATTGTTCTAGGGAAGAAACAGGTTTATCTGAGCGCCCTGGAAAGGTATCTTTTCATGACAAAGTCCACGCATGTCAGTCGATGGGGAGGAAGAAATGCTTAATGAGAACACAATAGAGTACAATAGCATAACAGAAGGAAAGTTTACATTTGGTGATTATACCTGGATGCAAAGTTTCCTGGTATAGAAAGACCTGCTGACTTTGCCCAGGGAGCAGACGAACCCTAGGAAGACTGGAAGGAAGGAAGCAAGGAAAGGAAGGATGGGAGGAGAGAGACCAGCATTTATTTAGCACTTACTGTGTGCCAAGAACTTTACAAATATCTCATTTGCTCTTCCCCCAAACCCTGGGAGACAGGTGCTGTTAGTTGGTGCAGGGGATGGAATTCTGGGCTTGGAGTAGGGAAGACTTGAGTGCAAATGTGGCTTTAGACACTAGCTGTGTGA